AAAAAAAAATTAGCCAGGAGCAGTAGCACACACCTGTAGTTCCAGCTACTTGGAAGGCTGAGGTGGAAGGATCGCCGGAGGCCCTCAGGTCAATGCTGGGGTGACCATGAGTGTGCCACTGCACTCTAGCCTGGGTGATGGAGTGAGACTCCAATTCAAAAAAAAAAAAGAATGCAAGGCTCTAAGATTTCAGCTCTTGTTGTTATCTTGCAGTTGGAACCATCAACCATGAAATATACCATAAAATACCACTTTCTGGGTGTTGACCAGACATTGTCTACTCAAAGATGAACTATCTCAGTCAAAACCTTTAAGGGATTCCAGTGGCATACAGGAGAGCAGCATGCAAGTACACCATCATAAATAGGAGGCTTGTTTTAATCAACTCATTTATTTTATTTATTTATCTTATTTTATTTTATTTTAGAGTCAGGGTCTCACTCTTGTTCAGGCTAAAGTGAAATGGCACATTCACGGCTCACCACAGCCTCAACCTCCTGAGCTCAGGCGATCCTTCTGCCTTAGCACTCCCATATAACTGGAGCTATAGGCATGCACCACCATGTCCAATTAATTTATTTTATTTTATTTTTTAGAGACAGGGTCCAACTTTTTTGTGCAGGCTGGTCTCAAACTTTTGGGCTTAAGTGATCCTCCTGACTTGGCCTCCCAAAGTGCTGGGATTATAGGCGTGAACCACTGTGTCAAGACTTCAACAAATATTGTGTCCTTACTATGTGTCAGACACTATTATAGGTTCTAGGCATACAGCAGTGAAGAAAACAGACACAAAATCCCTGCCCACATCAATTTTATTGTATTCTAGAAGGATGGACAATAAATAAATAACTCATAAAATATATTGGGGATCAGATGGTGACAAATACTATGGAAGAAAATAAAAAACAGAAGAGTACTGGGAAGTATGCAACCAAGGAAACAAGGAAAATGATCCTTTATTACTTTTTTTTTTGAGTTGGAGTCTCACTGTCACCCAGGCTGGAGTGCAGTGGCATGCTCACAGCCACTGCAGCCTCAACCTACTGGACTCAGGTGATCCTTCTGCCTCAGCCTTCCAAGTAGCTAGAACTACAGGCACGCACCACCCCACCTGGATTTTTTTTATTCATTGTGGAGACGAAGTCTCACCAAGTTGCTCAGGCTGATCTCAAATCCCTGGGCTCAGGCAATCCTCTTGCCTCGGCCTCCCAAAGTGCTGAGATTATAAGCTTGAGCCCCTGCGCCCAGCCCTTTTTTGCTTTTTGGGGGTTTTTTTGAGTCAGAGACTTACTTTGTGGTCCAGGCTGGAGTGCAGTGTGGCATGTTCACAGCCACTGCAGCCTCAACCTGCTGAGCTCAGGTGATCCATCTGCCTCAGTCTTCCAAGTAACTGGAACTATAGGCATGCGTCACCACATCCAGCTAGTGTTTTTTGTTTTTTTTTGAGTTGGAGTCTCACTCCGTTGCCCAGACTGGAGTGCAGTGGCCGCTCCCAGCCACTGCAGCTTCGACCTGCTGGACTCCGGTGATCCTTCTGCCTCAGCCTTCCAAATAGCTGGAATGACAGGTGCGCGCTACCATGCCCGGCTGATTTTTGATTTATTGTAGAGATGAGGTCTCGCCAAGTTGCCCAGGCGGGTCTCAAACCTGCAGGCTCAGGCAATCCACTCACCTCAGCCTCCCAAGGCGCAGGATTACAGGCTGAGCAACCGAGTCTGGCTTTTTTTTTTTTTTTTAATGATTTATTGTAGAGACAAAGTCTCATCAAGTTGCCCAAGCTAGTCTTGAAACCCCTGGGCTCAAGCAATCCTCTCGCTTTAGCTTCCCAAAGTGCGGAGATTATAGATGTGAGCCACCATGATTATTATTACTTTTAAGAGGTGATGGAAGACCTCACTGAAAAGATGATGGTGAAGGGATAAGAGGAGGGGCAGGAAGTGTGTAGGGCCTTGCAGGCTGTTTTGAGGACTCTGGTTCTCACTGAATGAACTGGGTAGCCACAAGAGTCTTGATTAGGGGACTGCATGATCTCACTTTTGTTTTAACAGGATTCCTTTGCTCACTATGTGGAGGGTAAAGGCAAGGGAGCTAAAGTGGAAACTGACAGGTTGGCAGGTTATTAGATACTCCAAATGAGAAATGATGGTGACTTGGACCAGGTGGTAGCCATGAATATGGTGGACATGGGATTTGTAGATGACTTGACTGGATCTGGATATGCAACAGAAAAAGGAGAGTCAAGGATGTCTCCAACACTTTTGGTCTGAGCAGACAGGTTGCTATTATTAACATGGAGACGATGACAGGAGAAGATTGGTGGCAGAAGAGACCAGGAGCCAGGCTTAGGGCAGGTTGGATTTGTGTAGCATGTTAAACATTTAACAGATATGTCGAAATGGCATCTGGGTATGAGAGGTCTGGCTTTCAGGAGACACGTCCAGGGTTGGCAATGCAATTTTGTAACTTATAAGCCTAGAAATGATTTTTATTTTATTTTTATTTTTGGTGTTTAGAACCCTGCATTTTCAAAGGCTCTCACCCACTGTGGGATTACATAGAAAGGAGGTTAAGAGCAACCAAAAAAAGGCAGTGGTGGGGTGACAGTCACACAGCCTCGGCCGGAATCTAAAGGCATCTTCCTGGGAAGGCATAGGGCACAGACAGATGCAGCTTTCCTTGCCGGGAATCTGTCCCCATCGCCACCCGCTGCTCCCCGTCACTTATTGTACTTGTTAAAGAGGTTGTCAAGAACCCTCAGGGTGGATCTGAGATCCAGGTTCACCACATCTTCTGGGCGAGCCTTGGGTTTCTTGAGGCCTCCGTCCAGCATCAGCTCAAAGGCAAAGGACACATTGTGGACCTTCTGACTGATGCTGTCTGGAGTCAGGTAGAAGTTGTGGAGAGGTACAAAGTAGTCTTCGAGAAGGCCCATGAGCAGAACCAGGTACACGCCATCTGCGAACTGAGTCTCCAGTTCCGTCACCTCCAAATTCAGCTTGTTCAGATGCTTGTTCACAAAGGTGATGAGAGACTCCTTCAGCTTGCTGAGCTCACCCGGGTTGTGGTCGAAGATCATGTCAAAGTCATCGCGCTCAAACTGGCCTATCATCATCTCCGTTGTGGTCAGCTCCTCTGAGATGTGGCTGGAATGCAGCAGGCCTTCCCGCTTCTTCATGACCACCACCTGTATGGAGACATGCTCGGGAAGGCAGATTGGGGCCTGGAAGTGCATGGCCAGAGAGACTAGCAGGTGGAGGATGGCCACCAGGTTCTTCCCATGGATCGAGTCCACGGTCCACTGGAGTGTCCAGCCGTGGGGCCACAGCAGGTCATGCACCGCATCCAGGACTGTCTGCAGCTTCTGTTTCTGCCCTATTTCAGATTGTGTGACCTCAGCCACGTTCAGCTTGCAGTCTGCCAGTTTTTCCAAGAGCTTCTGCAGCACCTGGCCATCGTACAGGTCCTCCTCCAGCTGCTTTACGATTATCCGCTCCTCTGCCAGCACGTCATTGATCCAGGTGAGAAGAACCTTGACAAGTTCCTTGAACTTGGGGTCATCCTTGGAGGTGGGGTTGATCATCGTGTGCTTCTCATTCTCTTCTAGCTGGGAGTCCTCGTAGTGAACATCCACTGAGGCGGGGGACATCGGCAAGTTGATGGCATTTTTGCTTTCTTCCTGTGGGTCACTCACCTCCCTGGCCTTCTTCTTCCTCACCAGTGTGCCGCCCAGTTTGCCCAGGAACGACTCGTCCTTCTTCATCCTGTGGGGCCGCATGGTGGGCGAGGGCAGCGTGAAGGACATGAGCTGTGCGTGGGGCCAGTGGTAGGCGCTCTGCGTGTCTAGAAATGATTTTTAAAGTCACAAGTTAGAACAAGGAGATGAGTGTTTTTAGAGCAGGGATGAAGTCCAGGGGCTGAGCCCGAGGATATCTCAACCTCAGAAGTCAGAGAGACAAGGAGATGCCTGCCAAGAGTAGTCAGTAAGGTAGGAAGAAAATGAGGAAGGGTGATCCTGGAAGCCAAATGAAGAAAAGTGTTTTGCCGGGCCCGGTGGCTCAGTCTGTAATCCCAGCGTTTTGGGAGGCCGAGGTGAGTGGATTGCCTCCTGAGCCCGCGGGTTCGAGATCTGCCCGGGCAATTTGGTGAGACCTCATCTCTACAATAAATCAAAAATTAGCCAGGCGTGGTAGTGCGCACCTGTAGTTCCAGCTACTTGGAAGCCTGAGGCGGAAGGATCGCCGGAGCCCAGCAGGTCGAGGTTGCGGTGGCCAGGAGCGTGCCACTGCACTCCAATCTGGGCGATGGAGTGAGACTCCAGCTCAAAAAAAAAAAAGAAGTGTTTCAAGGAGATGGCGGGATCAGTCCTGCATGTGTTGGGATGGAAACAAATGCACTGGTGTATAGGGCTTGACTGGGAGCCCCAGACTGAAGAGTAGGAAGAAGGATGGTGGAGAGTAATGAGCATAGTGTGGAAGGAATATCTGTGCAGGGCGGGGCTGGGGGTAAATATGTGAGTGCCAAAGCTCCCTTCTAACTGCTCCACTGTTCTCAGCGCTATTTAAAAGGAGTACATGCTGAGAGTAAAGCAGAGCAAGGAGGCATTCGAGGATGGGAGAGAGAGAGAGACAGAGAATAAAATATGAAACAGTCATCTGGGGTAACGGGATAGGGCCTAGAGAGGTCCAGAAGGATGACGGGGCAGTAAAATGGTGTTTGCTGAGCCTTGTGGTCTTGGTCTGCGGTGAGACCTGTCAACATGGTTGTATGTTCTCTGGCCACATTAGGCTGCAAGCAATGAGTAGGAGGAGGGTTGGATTTGATCAAGGTTGGGCTTTGCCAGGTGAATAGAATAAAGGGAGAGACAAATAAGGAAAATAAGGAAATAGAGGCCATGATGGGTGAGGGGCAATGAAAAGGACATAGGATTGATGAAGGCATTGCAGATGTCAGTAAGGCAGAAGGGTTGTGGGCACCATAGAGCTAACAACAGGAGGTGGTGGCTGAAAAGGGAGATCTTGAAATCGAGCATTTTGGGAACTGAGGTAGTGTGACAAAGTTTAGCATAGGGGTCAGCAAACAAGCCTGCTGCCTGTTTTTGAACAGCCTTGAGCTAAGAATAATCTTTACGTTTTAAAACATAAAATAAAAAAAGACAATTATCCTTTCAGTAAGTACAGTTGCTCAAAGAGTTGGCGACATTATCTCTTGGCTTACGAAGCCTAAAACATGTACTTCTTGGCCCTTCACAGGAAAAGTCTGCCCACTCATGGTCACCATGTGTGAGAGTGGCTGAGGTAAGCCAGAGGTAATAATCATGAAGGTGAAGTAGCCAGGATTTTAGGAAGATCACCTATGTATAGAAATCACCAATGATTAAGACAGCAGTGCTGAAGAGTGCCACAGGGAGCCAGAACTGAGAGTCAAGGAATGAGGAAATAACCTGGGATGCACAGATCCAATAAAGGCTGCGACATTGAGAAACAGCAGGTGGTCGAGGCTGATGGCTGAGTTTCAAGGCTTGAAGTTTTTGAAGGGAGGAGGGAAAGAGAATGTTCTGGAAGAAGCTAATAAGAACTAGCTGGCCACTGATCCCACCACCAGGTGCCAGTGATCTGAGAAAGGAATACAGCCACTCGCGAGAAGGTTGCAGAGGTAGCAAAGTACTCAGGAATAGGCCTGGTGGTGGAGTTAATGGTGGCAAGAGCCAAGGGTACAGGCAAAGAGACAGTTATGTCACTCCTTGGCTGTCAGGAAAGGCTTTGCAGAAGCTTTTGGGCTGAGGTTTAAAGTACCAGCAGCTGAAAGTGAGGTGAGGGTGGCTGGGATGGGGAGGAAGGAAGGGGTATTTAGGTACAGGAAAGCCAATATCTTTGAACATGGAACCTCAAAAACGTCACAGATGAACTTCAGTATAGCTAGAGTTTCAGAACCACAGTAATTAGTAGTTTCTTCTAATTGCTGAAACACATTATTATTTCTTCATTAATATCTGTGCTCTACTGAGATCTCTGTGTAGATGAGTTGATATGCTATGAATTAAAAAGACACATACTGGACTTTCAATCTTATTCTTACTTCTTCACAGATAAAGTGAGAAGCGGTCTCATATAAATCTTTACATGGGCGGTGGCTCACGCTTATAATCCCAGTACTTTGGGAGGTCGAGGTGAGAGGATTGCCTGAGCCCACAGGTTCGAGACCAGTCTGGGCAACTTGGCGATACCTCATCTCTACAATAAAACAAAAAAGAATTAGCCGTGTGTGGTGGCACGTGCCTGTAGCTCCAGCTACTTGGGAGGCTGAGGCAAAAGGATCACCTGAGCCCAGCAGGTCGAGGCTGCGGTGGCTGTGAACATGCCACTGCACTC